ACGTGAACGCTCACCTCTGCAACCTTGCTCTCGACGTGGTCCACGGGGGCGGCCGCCTGCGCGTCGCCTGCATGGGCGTCGTCTAAATGCGCATCAAGATCCTCCTGATGCACTGCTGCCGTCGGGGCCTCTCGGACTGCTGGAACTCTGTGATATTATTCTACCTGCGCGGCGAAGCCTGTGCGGTCACTCTCAAGCCTCTGCTCGTCAGCGGGATGAGTGACGCATTCGTCGTGGAAGAGGGCATCGACCACCTGCGCGTCCGCGGCCTCTTGCATCCGATGGTAAGCCTCCCCGCTGGTCCTGGTCGAATGCGCAGCTCCTGTCTCTCGGACGGCCACCTGCTCGTCACCGGCTGCAGCTCCGTGAAATCCCCCTGCGTGCGCGGCGAGGACTGCGCCATCGCTTTCAAGCCCCCGCTCGGCAGCGGGCTGAGTGATGCGCTCGTCGGGAAAGATGGCGTCGACTACCCGCGCGCCCGCGGCCTCTTGCGTCCGATGATGGACCTCGCCGCTGACCCTGGCCGAACTCGTCGCACCTGTTGCGGGGGCGACCGCCCGCTCCTGGCCAACGTGAACATTCGTCCCTTCAACAACGCTATCGCCATAGTTCACGAGGATGGCCTCCCGCGCTCCGCCTGCGTGGACGTCGTCCACATGCGCATCAGGGCCCTCGAAGGGGTCGTGCTCCTTGAGACCATCAATCGGGGGCGCTGCTGTCGCTGCCGCCCAGGCCTGTCGGACTGCATGAGGTCCGTGAAATGCTCCTGCATGCGCGGCGAGGCCTGCGCCGTCATTCTGAAGCCTCCGCTCGTCAGCGGGCTGAGTGGCGCGCTTATCGGATCGGCCACCCGCGCGTCCGCGGCCTCTTACATCCGATGATGGGCATCGCCGCCGGTCCCGGCCGAACTTGTCGCTCCTGCCACAGGGGCGACCATCTGCTCATGACCGACTGGAACTGCGTGAAATCTTCCTGCGCGCGCGGCGAGGCCTGCGCTGTCGCCCGTCAGCGGGCTGAGTAGCGCGCCCACCGGGAAAGAGTGCATCGGCCACCCGCGCGCCCGCGGCCTCCTGCATCCGATGAAAGGCCTCCTTGCTGGCCCTAGCCAACCTCGTCTCGCCCGATAGCCTCGTCGCCGCCGTCTCATGCACCGCCGCGAATGCATCGCACTGGGGCGCAGCGCCAGGGCCGCGACCTGGCCGCCCGCAGGCGCTTCAGCACTTTATTGTCGAAGGTGGTGTCGGCATCGGCAGGCGCAGGAAGAGCGACTGCAGAAAACGCCTCGCCACCGCTGCCCGCCGCCTGCGCGCGACCTCTTGCTGGCGGCGCCGCGGCGGCGCTGGCGGCCGGCGAAGCGCCCTCGCCACCGCCTTCCCGACGCTGGTTGTGTCGATGCTGCCGCCAGGGGGCGAGGGCATGTCTCGCCTCCACCTTTAGGCTTGGGCTTCTCACGCCGCAGCCGCTCGGCCCTGATCCGCTCCTGCACCGCTGCCGCCCCTGCTCGGCGCTGGCCCGAGATGCTGGCCGTCTCACCGGACAACTCTGCGACCTTCGCCTTAAGCTCCTTCGCGAAGCGGGGCTGTGGCCCCGCGAAAGCCCCCTTTTCAGCCTCGTCGACCTCGACCCCTCCAGCTCGAAAGCAGAGCCCGCCTCGAAGACCACCTCCTCGGACTCAATGGGTGCCGTGAGGTTGAAGGCAGGAGGCGGCCCTGGCGGCGCGGCCATCTGCTCGCCCTTAGGCTCGCGCGGCTTGCCGCGGGCGCGCTGGCGAGCCTCCAGGGCCGCCTCCGCCGCCCGCCGAGCGCGGACAGCCCCCCGCGCCGCCTGCAAGGCCGCCCCCTTGCGTCCCAAATGCCAATCATGCGCTTTCGCTTCGGGCTCGACTGCCTTGTCCAACGCCAGCTTAGCCTTGCGCTCCAGGGCGCACTGGTGCTGGCACTCCTGGTTTGGGCCCCTCTGGACCACTGGCGCTGGTGGAGGCAGCTGCTGCTTGATCCCTGCAGTGGCTGACGGGTCGATGTAATGAGCTGCCTCCTGCAAGGCCAAGAGGAGCTGCTGGGGCGATGGGCCCTCTGGGTCCTCCGTCTTTTCGGCCTTTCGACCCCGATTCCGCCTGCAAGACTTGGACCAGGCTGACCAGTCGAACCGCCCGTAGTTCGACGTCTTCTCGTCGCCCTGGGCCGCAGCGCGGTCCGCCCAGACCCCGCGAGCCGCGCGCCACGAGGGTTTCGACTCCAATTCCCACGAGTTGTTACAGCTGAAGCACGACGCGCGGCCCTTCCAATTCCACTCGCGTCCTCAATTTGCACACTTGACATAGCCAGCATGCTACACCATGGGGCTCGCGAGCCCTCCCCTCCCGCGGAAACGCCTGCGCCAGGCAGCTCTGGGTGCCGCGGGGCGCGCGCACGGGTGAGGAGTACCCCTGAATAGGAGACGCCACGCACGGGGGCGGACCCGCACGTGGCTCTGGTCAGGGCGAACTGTCCGATTGATAAAAGTTGCCGCAGGCTACGCGGTATCCACTTGTTCCCCTGCGGACTACATAGCTTTGAGCCAAAATGGCTAAAGGAGGAGAAGAAGAAGGAGGAGGAGGATGAGGAGGAGGAGGAACGCGCCATAGAGCGAGGCGCGGTCGAACCTCGGCCCGCCCCGAGCGGGGGGCCTGGCTCCACCCGAGGAGCCAGGACCCCCCGACCGTGAACACGACGCAGTCCACGGTATCCAGAACGGGGGCCCTGACGGGGCAGGACCCCGGCCACGACGCCGACCGTGACCATGAGGAAGCCAACCTCCGATACAGACTTTCCCTTGCCGTCCAGGGAGGCGGCCGCCTGGCCGCCGACGTTTCGAGGGCCTGCAGGTTCGCTTGGAGCGCCTGCAGGTCCGCCTCGAGGATGCCGTCGCGCTCGGCCGCGACCGCGGCGCCGCCCGCCGCCAGAGCACGCATGGCACCCGCCGCCGCCGTGCCCCAGGCATCGACCACGTCGGTGTCGGTCCTGCGGAGCTGCCGCCGCCGAGTGGGCGGGGCCAGGCCAGCGCCGCGGCCCGCCGCCCGCCCGTCCGCACACTCGTCGTCCAGCTCGTCCTGAATCTCCACCATGTCAGCAGCGGGCGCGGCAGCGACCTCCAAGGAGACGTACGCCCGCGGGGGCAGGCTGCGGGCGGCGCCGCCGCCGCGGCCTGCGACCACCCCCCACGGCGCCGTCCATCGATAGGCCCCGCGCTACCCCCTGCCTGAGCGCGGCCGCGCCCGCGTCGAGGCCCCCAGGGTTGTCCCAGCGGATTGCCCCAGCGGCCCGCGGGGGGCTCGCGGTTTTGCCCCGACGGCTTCGCGATCCAACGTTAGCTATCGGCGAACGTGCGCGCGCCCGCTGGCCGCGGGCGGAGAACTCGCTGAAGAAATGGACGTTCGTGCCCCTGGCAGGTAGAAGGGATATGCGCGAAAACAAAAGGCAGGGTGGGAGGGGGCAAGGAAACGGAGGAGAAGAGGAGGAGGAGGGAGGGAGGAAGAGGAGGAGGAGGAGGAGGAGGGAGGAGGGCAGGAGGAGGAGGACGAGGAGGAGCAGGAGGAGGAGGAGGAGGAGAAGAGGAGCAGGAGGAGGAGGAGGGAGAAGAGAGAGGAGGAGGGGGAGGAAGAGCACGACGAGGAGGAGGAAGAAGAGGAGGAGGAGGAGGAGAAAGAGGAGGAGGAAGAAGAGCAGCAGGAGCAGGATGAGGATGAGGAGCAGGAGGAGGAGCAGGAGGAAGAGGAGGAGGAGGAGGATACGGAAAATGAAACAAAACGAAGAGGGGAGGAGGAGGAGGGAGGAGGAGGAGGAGGAGGAGGAGGAGGGAGGAGGAGGAGGAGGAAAAGGATGAGGAGGAGGAGGAGGAGGAGGAGGAGGGGGGGAGGAGGAGGGAGGAGGGGGGGAGGAGGAGGAGGAGGAGGAGGAGGAGGAGGAGGAGGAGGAGGAGGAGGAGAGAGGAGGAGGAGGAGGAGGAGGACGGGGAGGAGGAGGGGAGGGAGGAGGAGGAGGAGGAGGAGGAGGAGGAGAATAATGTAATGATCGTTGAAAGGAGGGGGATGATGTTGAGAAGGAGGAGGTTGTAAAGGAGGAGGAGGCGGAGGAGGATGAAGAGGAGAAGGAGGAGAAGCAGGAAAAGGTGGAGCAGGAGCAGGAGCAGGAGCAGGAGCAGGAGGACTAGGAGGAAGAGGAGGAGGAGGAGGAGGAGGAGGAGGAGGAGGAGGAGGAGGGGGATGGAGAGGGGGCAAGCTAAACGGATTGTCGCTCAGGGTGTTACATGTCTCTTGTTGAGAAACCAAGACAAGCATGTAGATTGTTGTCGGTGTCTTAAAGTGGCGTTCTCACCCCAGCGCAGGCAATTGTTCTGAATCCGAGTCTTTCTTCATCGTTGTCGCCTCCCTCATTTCCCCTCCCTCGCCTTCCCTTCGTCCTCTTGCCCTTCCCATTCTTTCCACTCCAGTTCCTGCAACTGCTGCTGCTGTTCGTCCTCGTCCTCCTCCTTTGTCATCCTCCTTGTCCTCTTGTTCAGTCCCCAGTTCGCCCGCCACCGCTTCTTTCTGCATACGCAGCTCCCGTTTGCCGACTGCGCATGTCGCGATGGGGTCTTTCTATTGGAATTCCAGGTCGGCTATGGCACGCGTCCGAGGAGAGAGACGAATCCGCGGAATGCGAAGAGATGGGAGGGAGGGATAGGATGTGTGATGTGGCGCGAACGCACCGAGCCTGTCCCTTTCCCCTTCTCCCTCCTCCTCCTCCTCCTCCTCCTCCTCCTCCTCCTCCTCCTCCTCCTCCTCCTCCTCCTCCTCCTCCTCCCCCTCCTTCTCCTCCTCCTCCTTCTCCTTCTGGTTCCCGTCTTCCTCCTGCAACTCCTCCCCCATCGCCCCTACCCCCTCCGCCCGCCTCTCCCCTTCCCTCCCCTCCCCACTTCCGCCTCCTGCCTCTCTCCTCCCGCCCTCCCCTCCCTCCTGCCCCTCCCCACTCCCTCCTCCGCAGGCAGGCCCCTCGACGGCGTGGCGGCGCCGGGCTCAGTGCGCGAATTCTGCTTCGACGGCGTGTTCGCGGGCGACGCCGGCCAGCAGGAGGTGTTCGCCCAGGTGGGCCTGCCAGTGCTCCAGGCCTCACCGGCGCTCCCTCCTCCTCGCCCTCCTCGTCGTCCTCGTCCTCCTCCTCCTCCTCATTGTCCTCCTCCTCCTCCCTCCTCCGGCCTCTTACCCTTCCCTCCTCTTCTCTTATTCCTGTTCGTTGCTTCTCTGCTGCTTGCTTCCCCCCTTTTCTTCTCCTCTTTTATCTTCTCTTCTCCCCTCTTTTCTCTTCTCTTCTCTCCTCCTCCTCCTCTGCCGGCTGTTCAATCTTCCTCTTCCTCCCTCTTCCTCATCCCCCCTGATTGTCTTCTTGCTTGTCCTCGTCCCCCTCCTCCTCCTTCGCTTCCCCCTCATACGCCTCCTCATCATCATCACCATCATCATCACCACCATCATCATCAGCAGTAGCATCCTTACCATCATCAGCGTCACCATTGTCAGGCCTCTACCATCATCATCAGCATCATCATCAACGCTGCCATCATCATCATCATCGTCATCAGCATCGGCATCAGCACCATCATCAATATCATCATCATCATCATCATCATCATCATCATCATCATCACCATCACCATCACCATCACCATCACCATCACCATCACCTTCCTCGAGTGGCCAGTCAACAGCGTGAAGACGATAAACAGCGTGAGGACGACCAACAGCGCGGTTCCTATCGAGACGATTTTTCGTCTGTTGGCCTGCTTGGCGATCAACAGCATGTGGTCAATCTACAGCGTGAGGGCGCTCGGCAGCGTGAGTGCGATCCACGTCTGCCAGGAGACCAACATCTTGTGGATGCTCAACAGCCTGAGGACGATCAACAGCGTGAGGACAACCAACAACGAAGGGATGTACAAAGAGCGTGTGGATGATCAACAGCGCGTGGACGATCAACGGCGTGATGACGATCTACAGCGAGGGGATGTTCAACAGCGTGTGGATGATCATCAGCTTGTGGACGTTGTTCAGCATGAGGACGATCAACATCGCGAGGACGTTCTACAATAAGGGGGGAATCAACAGCGTGTGGATGATGATCAACAGCGTGTCGACGATCTATAGCATGAGGACGATCTACAGCGTATTGACGACCGACAACGAGGGGATGATCAGCTACGTGTCGGCGATGGACAGCGTGAGGACGATCAACGGCGTAAGGAAGATTTGAAGCGGTGGGATGTTCAACAGCATTGGGATGATCAACAGCGTGTGAATGATCTCCAGCAGAAGGATGATCAGCATCGTGAGGAAGTTCGACAACGTGGGGATCTACAACAGCGTGAGGACGATCAACAGCGCGTGGGTGGTCAACGGCGTGAGGACGATCTACAGCGAAGGGATGCTCAACAGCGTCTGCATGATTAACAGCGTGTGGACGATTTTCAGTTTTAGGGCGATCAACATCTTGATCTACAGCGTGGGGACGTTCAACAACGAGGGGGTGTTCAACAGCGTGTGGATGGTCTGCAGCGCTTGACGATCTACAGCATGAGGACGATCTCCATCGTGAGGACCATCAACAGCGAGAAGAAGAAGGAGTGACTAATAAGGATCAGAAGAGAAATGATCATAAGGAAAAGTGAGAAGACGATCTACAGCGTGTGGGCGATCTACAACATCATAGAGAAGAGCAGCGCGAGGACCCTCAACCACAAGTTGGCGTGCAACAGCGTGAGGACGAACAACGATGTGTTCATCATAAACAGCGTGAGCATGATCTTCAGCGTGTGGACGACCACCAGCGCGAGGAAACTATTCCAGAACAGGACGTCGCGAAGTACAAGGATTTTGTCTACCATATGAACTTGATTCTCTTCTTTGATGAGTGTTGGTGCGCGCGCTCCTGGATATCGAAAACGCTCAATGACCTGGGTCTTGTCTTTTCAGAAGCTCGCCTGCAGGCTGTCCTGGATGACTACGAGGAGCCGGGGCTGCCTATGGCTGACCTCGCGGAAGTGGCGTCAGGCGCGGGACTCTTACCGAGAGAGCGAGTTATCTGGATTCGTAGCGCGGCACGCAAACTAAGTAATTCGTCCCGATGGGACCGTTGGACTCGTGCTTCTGCTGATACGTGAGAACATTGCAAGGATCCGACGTGCATGATATGAGCTGCAGGGCTGTTCCTGCGGGAGTAGTGTAATTGACAGCCGGTGGGACACCTACTCTTAACGATGACACCATCACCATCATCATCATCATCATCACCAAAATCATCATCATCGTCAGAAAGAGCAACATCATCATCACCACCATCATCATCATCATTATCATTACCATCATTGCCGTCATCAACATGATCACCACAATCAGCATCCTCATCATCATCATCGTCGTCATCCTCATCATCCTCGTCATTGTCATCATCCTCACCATCCTCATCCTCTATCGTCCCTCCTCTTCCTGACCGCCACGCCCGCTCTCCAGGACTTCCTGCGCGGCATCAACGGCACCATCTTCGCGTACGGACAGACTGGGAGCGGCAGCCCGGTGGCCAGTAAACAAGCCAGGGCGCTCCAGCCAACGTGCCTCGCCTTGTATGAGTTCGGGGATTGACAGCTACGAGGAGGTGGAGGAGAAGGAGGAGGAACCAGAGGAGGAGGAGGAAGATTATGATGTTGATGATGATGATGATGATGATGATGATGATGATGATGGTGAAGGTGATGGTGATGGCGATGGTGATGGTGATGATAGCGATGATGATGATGATGATGGTGATAAGGATGATGATGATGATTATGATGAAGATGAAGATGATGCTGATGATGATGACGATGATGATGTTGATGATGATGCTGATGATGATGATAATCATCATCATGATGATAATGATGATGGTGGTGGTTGTGATGGTGATGGTGATGGTGATGGTGGTGGTGGTGATGGTGATGATGATTAGAAGGGGGAGGAGAAGGAGGAGGAGGATTAGGAGGAGGAGGAGTAGAAGGAGGAGAAGCAGAATTAGAGGCGGGAGTAGAAGCTGGAGAAGCGGAAGGGAGGACCCGGAGGTTGAGGAGCGGGAGTAGCGGGAGGCGGAGGAGGAGGTGGAGGACCGATTACCGAGGCGCGAGATGGTGATGATGACGACGACGACGACGACGACGATGATGATGATGATGATGATGATGATGATGATGATGATGATGATGATGATGATGATGATGATGATGATGACGATGACGATGACGATGACGATGACGATGATGATGATGATGAGCGTGCTGAAGAGGAAAATCAAAAATATTATCATGGTGATTACGGTGATGGTGATGTTTTCGATGATGATGATGATGTTGATGATGATGATGGTGATGATGACGATTGTGATGATGATGATACTGCTAATGATGATGCTGATGATGGTGATTATGTTGATACCGATGCTGGTGCTGCTGATGCTGCTGATGATGATGATGATGGTGGTGGTGGTGGTGATGGTGATTCTCTGTGGCGAAACTGGCGTTCCGAATCCGAACCTCCGGTCGGCTGGCGAGGTGCCGTTGCGGTGCAGTTGAGAGCCCATGCCTACACAACAGCTCGAGCCTAGACGCGTACGGTTGAAATGCGAAGACCGTGACTTCCTTGACACTGCGTGGACTCGCTCGCTCGTGCCCCCCCGCCAGTGATGCCGCGCACACGCTTCTCAGAAATAATGAGCCCAATCAAGGACTGGGAGCTTCTCAGTCTCAAGGCAGCAGCAAAGGTTATATCCGGAAATGCGATGGCATCGAGGGCCCTTCAGGACGCTGGCTCCCTGGCATGCCGCGCATGCTCACCTGGACCCTTGAAAACTGGGCCGGAGGCGCTCCACCAGGAGGCGAGGGAGAGCGGGCAGGCAGATTTCATTTCTAGCGACGATGATGCTGTTTATAAGGTGTGCTGGAAGCCCCAGGGATTTCGATCAACTGCGTTCCGTTCAAGATTCGCATGCCAGCTACTGTGCCCAACGCGAGGGATGCTGCTTTCCCCAGCCACCTGACAGGTCCAGGCGTGGCTGAAGCCAGACTGCTTCCGGCGGCCTTGGTGGCCGATGCCCCCCATTTCGCTAGAAACGCACCAGCAGCGGAGCTGAACACCTGAGTTCCCGCCTGCTACTTCCGCGCTTCACGTTCTTGGTGGGCCATGTACACACCTGTGTAAAAAAGCGATCGCAAGCAGCACAAGCACGAGGCACAGAGGAGTGCGGATGGGGTAGAAGACAGCGAAGCTTTCGCGCCGTGTCCCAAAAGAGCTGAATGCGCTACTTCTCAGGGCGCGGGGTGCTGGCTTCACGATTGTGCTTATTAAGGAATATGTCTTCCCTTGGACAGCGTCCGGCTTGCTCGTCCAGACGGCCCCAAGGCCCTCGGTGAGCTCCTTGAGCGTGCCGTTCTTGAGAGACACTTTGTCGTCCATTGCCAACTCAAGCAAAGCGATCTGAGTGGGATTCAACACCTGGTTATCTTCGATTACAGGCGGAGGCGGGGTCTGCACTGGCGGGGGCGGCTGCGCTCCCAGATGCCCCCGGTCTGGGGACGCCGTTCTGAGCTGCTGCCGCCATGGCCGAGCAAAATTGGGGCGCAGTCGCGTCCGCAATGAGCTTGCTTGCCTTGGCGGGCGTACTCCTCATCCATCTCCTTCTGTGCGGAATCCTTCAAATACTGGCGAAAGTACTTCGAGTGACGGACCAGGTACTTTTCGGCTGGTGTTGCATTCTTCGCAGTATCGCTGGAGGACGTGGAGCTGGAGTCCTTGGCATGCTACTTTTTGGACCCGTGCTTGCGGCCGTCCTGCAGGTTGTCCACGCGCTCCTCCGGGCTGGAGGTCACAGAGAGCATCACAACCGGGCCCCCCCGACTGTCATTCTGAAGGGGATGTTTGGCCCGATTTAGGGCTACAAGAATTTATCCCGAAACTCATCACAGCAACGATTCGTCCGTGACCTCCTAGCTGACCCGAGTAGCATGCCAGTCAAATTGATGCGAGTGCAAGTCGCGACGTTTGCTGCCTCGAGGGCCCCGCATGGCTCTCAAAAAGGACAGATGGAGCGCACCAAATGCTGCAATGTACCTGATGCTTCGCTGAACCAAAACCACCGCTGCGGGAGGCGGGATGCTATGAATTAGGGCCTCGACGAGCTAAAAAGGGCAGGACAGACGCAGAAGCTCCGGGAGAAATTCAGAGATTATGACGCTCCTCAGGGCTGGCGAGACCTCCAGCGTGGCAGCTCGCACGAGCCGCCCTATCAGCGTGGACCTGGGCGTTTTGAAGGAGGTCGGAGGCCGGCCCATCCAGGGGAGGAGGTTGGACTTCTGACGAGGACTGCCTGTCAGCACCCATCCCCTGTTCGGATTCTGCAGCGTCCATGAAAATGCGCTCTGCCAAAAGTGAAGTTTGGTGTCAGGCCATTCAAGAATGACTCAGAGACCCAGAGCCCTCGCGCGCCGTCGCTGGCGTGTACGGCACTTCGCCTGCCAGCGTGCACGTGATGGAAGAACGCGCCGAGGCAGCTCGGGCAATAGCAGAATGAGAAAGCCAACGAATCATCGACATACCGGCGCCCAAATATACGCTTTAGAACGGCATCGTTTCCAGACATCGGAAAGAGCGTGTTCTACCGCTGCTGGCGGAAAACCTGGGGGGGTCACTAGGGGTTCCCAACCCGTCCCCCCCCACTAGAGAAAACCGCGGGGGGGTCATTCCTGGTTCGAGCACCCTCCCCAGTCCATCATGAAAAGGGGAGAGGGTCACTGCCTGTGTGACCCCCCCCCATCGAAAAACGGAGGGGGTCACTACCGGTTCGAACCCTCCCCTCCCTTGCCGCTGGCAAACAATTCCTGCTCCTCGGGAAGGTTGGACGGTGGTGGTGATGCTGGGACAGTGGTGGGGACGGTGGTGGTGGGACAGTGGTGTGGAGACAGCGGGACAGTGGTGCGGACAGTGGTGGGGACGGTGGTGGTGGGGACACTGGTGAGGGGACAGCGGGACAGTGGTGGGGACATTGGGACAGTGGTGGGGACGATAGTGGTGGGGACAGTGGTGAAGACGGTGGTGGGGACGGCGGTGGGACAGTAGTACAGTGGGAAAAGTGGTGGGGACAGTGGGGACAGTGGGAACAGTGGTGGGGACAGTGGGGGCAGTGGGACAGCACAGTGGGACAGCGGCGGGGACAGTGGGGACAGTTGAAAAGTGGTGGGAACAGTGGGGACAGTGGGATAGTGGTGGGAACCGTGGGGAAAGTGGGGAAAGCGGGACCGTGGTGGGACAATGGTTGGGAGGGTGGGGACAGTGAGACACTGGTGGGGGCATCGGTGGGGACAGCGGGGCCAATGGTGCGAAGAGTGGGGACAGTGGGACGGTGGTGGGGACTGTGGGACAGTGGTGGGGACGGTGGTGGTGGGAACAGTGGTGTGGGGACGGTGGGGATGTGGTGGGGACAGTGGGACAGTGGTGGGGACAGTGGGACAGTGGTGGGGACAGTGGTGAGGGCGGTGGCGAGGATGGTGGTGGGACAATGGGACAGAGGTAAGTGCAGTGGGGACAGTGGTGGGGACAGTGGGGACAGTGGTGGGAACAGTGGGACCGCTCAGTGGGACAGTGGAGACAGACAGTGGGGACAGTGGGACAGTGGTGGGGACTGTGGGGAAAGTGGGAGAGTGGGACCGTGGTGGGAACAGTGGTGGGGACAGTGGGGACAGTGCGACAGTGGTGGGGTGGGGGCACAGGTGGGGACAGTGGGGACGGTGGTGGGAAAAGTGGAGTGGGGACAGTGGTGGTGTGGACGGCGGTGCTGGGGACAGCGGTGGGGGATGGTGGTGGGGACCGGGGAATCGTTTGCCGGCGGTGAGGGGGGGTGGGGGGTTCGAACCGGTAGTGACCCCCCTCGGTTTTCTGGGGGGGGGGGGGTCGAACCGGTAGTGACCCCCCCCGGATTTCCAGAGGGGGGGAGGTTCGAACCGGTAGTGACCCCCCCCCGGTTTTCCGGAGGGGGGGGGAGGGGTTAGGGGAAGGGGGGGTTTTCCCGGGGGGAGAGGGGGAAGGGGTTATATCAGAAAAGGGGGGGGGGAATTTCGAAGGAAGGAGGGGGGGAACCCCGGGTTCTGGAGGAAGAGGGGGAAGAATTTTCAACAGTAATGCGGCGGTGGATCACGCTCTCTCAGACATCGTGAAATGTGGGATCTGCTTGGACCCTACAAGGACCAGCGCCCCCTCGTAACCAAAAAACGACAAACACGGCTGCTGAGCTGAGAACGCCACCGATAGCCAAGCCATGCTGCTTAATCACGAGTTTGCTCAGACATGCAAAACTCAAGACAGTTGCCTCTTCGAGACAAGCGCCGAGGAGGGTGAGGGAGAAGGCCCACCATCGCCCGAGACATCATCCATAGCAGCGGGATCCCGGAGATTCTCGATATATCCTCACCCGACGTTATCTTCGTCAGGAAGCGGTCCAAGCCTCGGTCGTACGCATATTCGATTCTCGTCCCGCCCGGGGCGACTCGATGAGACGTGGTGCGAGATCCGATGCCGCGTGTGTGCTGCCCCGTCCACGGCCATGCCGGCGTTGGGAGCTGGTGTCAGGAGTCTCCCCGCAGCCCCGCCCATCCGATTTTCGAACCCCCGAATCTCCAAGGCGCACAAGCTGCACACACATTTCTTGAGGCTCCGCGAGGAACCCCAAAAGTTGATGTGCATCCAGGAGGGAAAAATCACACAGACACAAGTAATCGTCGATTCCCATGAGCGTATGGGACAACATGGGAACTGGTAAGGAAGAAGCAAATTAAGAAACTATGAAAACAGATGGGGTATCCTGGGGTGTGTGCCTATTTATTTGTGCGTGTCCCCGGGCCCCTTCGTGTATGCCGCTTGCTGCTCCTTCAGAGCTCGCGCCTCGACCCTCGAAGCTCCCCATGTCACCCGAAGGGGGCGCTCCTCGCGCCGCGGCCTGCGCCAGCGTGGCTGCCCCTTCCGCGGCGGCGGCGCGAGAGAGCAACGGCGCGAAGAGGATCGCGCGTCGCGGGGCGCGAGGGCGCGCAGGTAATTAGGCGACCCAGCAATCTCGAGCCTCGAACCTCGAGCTTCGAGAACCTGCCTCCTCCTCCTCCTCCGCCTCCTCCTCCGCCTCCTCCTCCTGCGCCCCTCGGCCTCCTCCCCCCTCCGCCTCCTCCGCCTCCGCCTCTTCCCCCTCCGCCTATTGCGCCTCCTCCGCCTGCTCGGCCTCCTCCCCATCGAGCCTCGGATCTCGGACCTCGAGCGCGCCCCCCATCCCCCACCCCCGCAGGCAAGACCCACTCCCTGCTGCACCAGGGCCCGCCCTCGGAGTGCGCGGGGCTCCTGCCGCGCCTGGTGGCCAGCCTCTTCCTGCACGTGTCCCGGGACGCGGAGAGCGCTTATGCGGTGGAGGTGGCCGCGGTCCAGGCGCGCGCATTCATACAGCACACAAATTGTATATGATGTTTGTGTCTACTATGTGTACATGCACGTGTGTGTGGGTGTGTTTGTGTGTGTGTGTGTGTGCGTGCATGCATGCGTGCGTGCGTGTGTGTGTGTGTGTAAGTGTGTAAGTGTGTGAGTGTGTAAATGTGTAAGGGTGTAAGTGTGTGTAAGTGTCAGTGTTTGTGTGTGTGCGCGTGCGTGTACCGGCGTTCGTTATGTCTTTATGCATGCATGTACGCATTGGTGTATGGAAACTGGTTTCAGGTATAGAGCAGCCGCGCAACATATTGTGGTATATGCATATTGGCGTGTGTGTGTGTGCATACCTGCAGGTGTGCAATCGAAACCGATAGGAAGGATGGATCACCGTCCAAAGTGTACACTTGCAGCCTTGCCTCCTAGGTCCGACCGCATGATTGGGGGCGTTGGGTAAGGAGTGTGCCCGGGGGCTTCAGGTCCTGCATGGTTCCCTATCTGATGAGGGCTGCCCATGTCCAATCCACGTGTGGAGCTCCATCGACGTCCAGACCCTGGATGATTGATCTAAGGGTTCCTTACCCGGTGCCCCCTACCGTAAGCTCCATGCGTCGTCAAGAGAGGACACGTCGGACGTTCTCGCCCAGCCTGCGCGCCCCGCGACGGCCCCCCCCCCCCCCTGGATCGGCCAGGCTCGGGAGCTGCCGCAGACGGGTGGGGTCAGGGGCTGTGGGGAGGAGGAAGATGGGGAGGAGGAGGAGGAGGAGGAGGAGGAGGAGGAGGAGGAGACGGAGGGGAGGAGGAAGAGGGGCGGATGAGTGGGGGAGGGAGGAGGAGGAGGAGGAGGAGGAGGCGGAGGAGGGGGTGCAGGAGGAGAAGGGGGGCGGAGGAGAAGAAAGGAGAGGGAGACGGGGGCAAGGAGGAGGAGGAGGAGGAGGAGACGGAGGAGGAGGAGGAGGAAGAGGACGAGGAGGAGGAAGAGCAGGAGGAGGAGGAGGAGGAGGAGGAGGAGGAGGAGGAGGAGGAGGGGGTGGAGGAGGAGGAGGAGGAGGAGAGGGAGAAGGGGGCGGAGGAGGCGGCGGAGGAGAGAAGGGGGAGGAGGAGGAGGAGGAGGAGAAGGGGGGGAGGAGGATGGGGAGGGGAGGGGGAGAGGGAGGGGGAGGAGGAGTAGGAGGAGGAGGAGCAGGAGGAGGATGAGGAGGGGGAGGAGGGGGAGGAGGAGGCGGGGGTCTGTCTGCGACGTTCGTTCTTTTCGCGCTCGGGGAAGGCCAGGAAGGAAACGGGTTCTGAGGGGACCGGGTCCTCCAGTTTTTTGTTTGGTTCGAGCCTATGGGACCCTCCACGGCCCCCAGGATTGCCAACACAAGACGCTCATTGGCGGCACGGACATATGGGGTATGGGGATGTGGGATGGCTTCTTCGACGGAGGCCGATTCTCAGAAGGCGCTGGCCTGACATCTACAGACAAGGCCCGCACCTTCCAAGAAGCAGGGGTGCTTCTAAGAAGCCTTCCCCCCCTCCCCCATACCCCCTTGCGCGCGCCGCCAAACTCAGGTTGAAGAGCTGCGCCCCGCGGAAGACCCCAGGGGTCCAGGACCCGTTCCACTCCAGACCCGTCTCCTTCATGCCCCGGGCGAGACGGGCGAGGGCGGATCCAGACGTTACACGAGTTGTGCCTCCTGAGGAGGCCCTCGTTGCCGCGGCCGCGCGCAGCCTGAAAGGCTGGTGAGGATGGTGCCCAGGATCGGCTATACGTCAGAGTGACCTCGACGACGCGTAAGAGTGACCTTTTGCTGGAGTGACCTTCTGGTGCGCGCCCAGTGGGGCCCCCCATCGCTGAACGCGAAGCGGTAGCAGCGGCTTGCGCGTCTCGGTTTGGCCACTTCGCGTCCCCCAGAAAGCCGCGCACCAAAGGTCAATCTTACCCAGGGTCACTCTTGCGTGTAGCCGATGACCTTTCGCCAGAGCGACCGTTGGTGCTGGCACAGCGGGGCCCCCAGATGGCTGAGCACGACGCGATAGCAGCGGCGTGCGCGCTCCAGCTCAGCCTCCCCGCGGCCTCTAAGAGTCACGCGCCAAAGGTCAGTATTGTGTAGGGCCTCTCTTACGCGCTTACGCGTAGCCGACAGGAGGGCCGTAAGCTCCGTGCGCCGTTAAGAGAGACCACGACGGGCGTCCTCGCCCAGCCTGTGCGCCCAGCGACGGCCCCCCCCCTTGGATCTGCCAGGCTCGGGAGCTGCCGCAGACGGGTGGGGTCAGGGACTGTGGGGAGGAGGGAGATGAGGAGGAGGAGGAGGAGGAGGAGGAGGAGGAGGAGGAGGAGGAGGAGGAGGGGCAGGCGGAGGAGGATGAAGGGGAACAAGAAGAAGCAGAAAAACAAGAAGAGGAGGAGGAGGAGGCGGAGGAGGGAGCGGAGGGGAGAGAAGGAGGAGGGAGAATGCGTCAGTCTTGCATAGGATCATTCTTGCGTGTGGCCGACAGGGGGGTTGGGGGCTTGAGCTCGAGCGACGGCGGGCAGGCCGCCCGGGGCTTCCAGACGGGGTGTCGGTCGCTCGGGCCTTCGCGCGCCAGAGCTGCCGCGTCGAGGGGCCGCGCGTGCTAGCGCGCCCTCTGCTCCGAGCAGTCCGCCGCGCGAGCGACCTGGCGGAAGCCATCGCACCGCGAGCGGTCAGAGTATCTAAGATGGCCCAAGACGGCTCCAAGATTGCTCCAAGACGGCCCACGATGGCTCCATGTGGCTCCCAAGATGCTCTGAGAAGCCCCAAGACCAAGGACGCCACGCTCTTCGGCGACGCACCGCTGCTCGGCGACGAGGTCCGAACCCTGCCCTCGCCGATCGACGATTCAGGCAACTCGATGGGCGGCGGGGGTACAGTCGGGCAGCTAAAGAAGGAACCCTTTTTGTTGAGGAGGGGCTCGGTGTTCCTTCATTGTTGTACAGTTTGCCTCAGGTTGTCCATGGGAAATCGAAGCTTAATGTCAGAAAAACATGGCCTCGTTCCTGATTTTGGGTTCCTTGGGTCAACGCCCCGACTGTAGGGTTCGGAATTCGACGAACACCTGGCGGAATCCGAACCCCACCCCCGCCCCCCATCGATTCCGGAGAGGAGGAGGAGGAGGAGGAGGACGAGGAGGAGGAGGAGGAGGAGGAGGAGGAGGAGGAGGAGAATCTTGGCGGAATCCGAGCCCCACCCCCGCCCCCCATCGATTCCGGAGAGCCGATGGCTGGTGGGGGTGGGGGCTCGGACGTCGCCACCTCACCGCAGGCCCACGACTCTCGACCGCCGCTGCGCCGATTCGCGCCACGCGCGGCGGAGTTGGGCGCAGGAGCACCGCCGGGGAGATCTGACATGTGAGCACGCAGCGCGGCGGCCCGCCCCCTTAGGGCGACGAGATCTATGCATATCCACTGCTCCTGGCCAGGCCCATCCTGGGCCCAGGAGCGGTGTATATGCCCTCCTGGCCAGGCCAGGAGGGCGTATACACAGCTCTTGGGCCCAGGATTGGCCTGGCCGGGAGCAGTGGATATGCATAGATATCGTCGCCCTATCCCTGGCGCAAGACCTCCCGCCTCCCGCTGCCCAGGTCTACAACGAGCAGGTGGACGACCTGCTGCACCCCGGGCTGCAGGACGGCGCCGGGCAGGGCCTCGCCGTCCACAACGGCGGCGCCGTGCCGGGGCTCACGTGGCTCGCCTGCCAGCAGCCGTGCGAGATGCTGGAGGCTTTCTCGCGGGCGCGCTCCGGGCTCGTCTACGCGGAGACGAGGAGCGGTGAGCTCGAGATTGGCACGGACAAGAAATAGGCTCAGAGACCAGCAGCAGGCCCTGTCCAGTGTGAGCAGGGTTCGCTGTCGGTACCGCCGCCGACGTCGCCCCTTTGAGACAGAGGGCCGCCTGTCTGACAGCGGCCGCTGTGGGCTTGGGACAACATCTTGTGCTGGGCATCGTACTCATTGTTTTTCCGTACCAAGCTCGGGCGTCCACAGAGGACTTTCGGAGTGCGTTCAGACAGCCCCCTCAGGAAGTCCCGGCAGGCCTCAACAGGCCCACCGAGCAGTGCGGGGCAGTCTCAACACCCCGGCGCCACTTCCGGCGGAGCGCCCCTGGGGCGCTCCGCGCCCCAGGGTTGGGGTGATAAGACCGCCCCAGCCTACTCGGGGGGCCTGTTGAGGCCAGCCAGGACGACCGGAGGCGGCTGTCCGAGCGCGACCCGAAGCCTCACCGTGACGAGGATGAACAAGGCCCGAGGAAGAAAAAGCTGCACGAACACGGCCTCCCGGAGCTCCGCGCGGAGTTCCTGGATCTGCGCTGGCACCACCGGGGAGGGAGGAGGAGGAGGAGGAGGAGGAGGAGGAGGAGGAGGAGGAGGAGGAGGAGGAGGAGGAGGAGGAGGAGGAGGAGGAGGAGGAGGAGGAGGGGGCCCAGCGCAGATTCCACACATCCGCGCGGAGCGCCGAACGTTTCCGTGCTCCCGCCGCCTCTGTGCGTCCCCGAGAGGCGTCGAGCCGCAGCCACGCCGTGTTCCAGATCCGGGCCACGCGGCGGGCCAGGGAGGGAGGAGCGGCCGTGGAGGAGGGCGGGGAGCGCGCCCGGCGCATCGAGTGCACGCGCTCGCGCCTCTGCGTCGTCGACCTGGCCGGCTCCGAGAGGGCGAATCTCAGGAGGGGAAAAAACACACAGACACAATTAATCGTCGATCCCCAGGAAAATATGGGAAAATATGGGAAGTGGGGGGGAAGACAGAAACCCAGAAAATATGGGAAAATATGGGGATTTGTTTTATTTGTGTGTATTTATTTGTGTGTCCCAGGGCCCCTTCAGAATCGGAGGTTGATAGTCACCACCCACCAAACCACCCCAACCCAACCCGAAGGCTCCAAGTTGCCCTCCATTTCCAGTGGGGGGGGGGGTCGGGGAGTGTGGAGAAAGCACATACGGAACCCTTACCCCCCCCCCAACCCGAAATTCGGGTCTTCGGGTTGGGTTGGGGTGGTCTGGTAGGTAGTCAGATAGACTTCCTACCCTGACAGGTCGATTAGCGAAGTGGCCGTCGTCGCTTCGCGAGAGGGCGTCGCGGCCGTCATTTTTGCGGCTTCGGGTCCGTCCGTTTCGGTCCCAGGCCGTTGTCACTGAAGGGAGGTTTACTAAAGGGAGGTTCGTCCACCGCCGAGCGAATTTGGTAACAAATCATGGGAGCCTGGGAAAACCTCTCTCAATTCCGTCTTCAGCGTCGACTGGCGTCGCTTAGCGTCTGGGAGTGATGGGATGGCGCCGATGTAGCGTCGGCTAGCGTCGATGTAGCGTCGATTTAGCGTCGACTGGCACCCATTCGCAAGCGCCGACAAGATGGCATGGGAGGCTCCCTTGAGTCGCCACCAGAGGTGAAGAAGAGTGGGGTCGAAGGCCTGCAGTTCAAGCAGGCCGCGGCGATCAACAAGAGCCTGCTGGCCCTGGGCAACGTCGTCAGCGCGCTGGCCGCGAGGATCGGAGAAGGAAGAACTGCATAAAAATCGGCGGCGAGCCCCGGGCCCAGGGAGGAAGTGAGAGGGGGCGGACCTTCTCAGAAGGCTCGAGAGGCCTCGAAACCCCTCTGCGAAGTGCTCTGAGCCTTCTCCGAAGACAGAGACGGCCTCTCAGAAGGCCGGATGGGCTTCTGAGCAGCCCCGCCGCCTTCTGAGAAGGTCCGCCCCTCCTCACTTCTCCCCCGGGCGCGCCGCCGAATCGAAGCAGACTTTGGCAGTTTTCTTGGGTCGGCGCTGGGCCCCGTCCCTGGCGCGCGGAGGGGCGGCGCCGAGGGTGCCGCCAGGAGGGCTCGGCGCCGATCCAGGAAATCCCGCGTGGAGCTCCGAAAGTTCGTGGCTGTTCCCTAATGCGGTGAAGGCCCATGCCAAGAAACACCCTGCTTGCCTCCAGGGTGCCCTGGGTTTCGACGGTTTTGCAGTGCAAAGCGTGACGCTTCCACGCAAAACATCGGCGGGTGTCCTGGGGTCGCAGGGTTGGGTTTCTTGTGGACGGCTTCTTGTGATCGGGCCCCCTACTGCAGCATTTCGCAAGACGCTAGAACCTGGCATCGCTCGGACGTGTGCATTTTTCTCGGCGAGGACCATCGAGAAGCATCCTTGATCATTTGGCGAAAAAACCACGCACGAAACCGAAAAAAGCATAGGGAATGGACGTCCGAACGATGGCCAGAGAAGCGTTCCATACTTTTCCTACAAGGTCACAGCGCAGTCCCACAGAGGGAAAGGGGAGCCCAAGACCGCCCCGTCCGAAGGCGGTCTGGCGGCGGTCCTCCTCCTCCTCCTCCTCCTCCTCCTCCTCCCTCCTCCTCCTCCTCCTCCTCCTCCTCCTCCTCCCCCTCCTCTTCCTCCCCCTCCTCCTCCTCCTCCTCCTCCTCCTCCTCCACCTCCTCTTCCTGCTCCTCCTCCTCCTCCTCATCCTTCCCTCCTCAATGTCCTCCTCATCGTGTACCTCCTCATACTTCACTCAGGAACCAGGATCTCGCCTCAATGCCGGCTACATGTTCGGTTCGGCCGTCCCCACGATCCCTTGGAAACCGATGTACGCCAAGTTGCACATGGCCGTGTTCTCACCACTGTCCCATGTATCCAGGGAGAAAAAACACCCTGACCAGACTATTGGCGTTTACTAAACGGCCTTGGGGCGTTTACTAAAAGCCTTGCCCTGTTCGATTTCTTCTTTGGGCGCGTTTACTAAACGACTTCGCGTGTCGGGGGGGTTATTACGGGGTGGATGTTTTGACCTCTATAGTATAGCCGACCTCCTCCTCCTCCTCGACCCGCCTCTTCACCTTTGCTGCTATGAGGACGCTGGGGAATTGTTCCTCCATAGGAGGGGCCACGTGCCCATGAGGGACAGCAAGCTCACCAGAATCCTGGACGGCTCCCTGGGCGGCAGCTGCCGGACCGCGCTGCTCGTCTGCGTCGGCCCGGCGGCCGAGAACGCCCAGGAGACGCTCAGCAGCCTCGAGTTTGCCTCCCGGGCGATGCACATTGAGGTCCTCTGTCGGGGCTCGAGAGACGGGGGTCAGTGCAAACGGGGGTCAGTCAGAGCGCCGAACCGTGCAGGATCCTGCAGGGCCAAGGGCGCACTGGCCGGGGCTTGGGTGCAGGATCCCGCAGGATCCCGCAGGTTCTCGCACGTTCCTGCAAGGCCTGACTGACCCGTGTTTCGCTTGACCCGGGTCAGCAGATCCCCGACTCTGGGCGATGGTCGAAATTTCGACCGGCTGAAAGCACGGAGGCAGTGTCGTGGTCGGCGTTCTGGGGGAAAGCGCGCCGATGCTGGCCGGGCCTGGTCTCCATGGCGATGCACACCGAGGTCCGCTGGGCGCTGGCCGATGCCTCGGTCGATAGAAGCGGGACAGGGTAATGCCGTGGTCGGCGTTGTGGGGGAGCGCTCCGGCTCTGGCCAGATTTGGGGGCCCCGCAGGGGGGCCCCGAGCCCTCGTCCTTCCCGACCCCGCCTCCAAGGCCGGCCCCGACGCCGAGGCCGTGCCCCCGTGCGCGCGGTGCCCCAGAAACGCTCGGCGCCAGTGCCACTCACAGGGCGGCGAACGCGGGGGGGCGCGAGCGTCCTCCTCCTCCTCCTCCTCCTCCTCCTCCTCCTCCTCCTCCTCCTCCTCCTCCTCTTCCGCCTCCTCCTCCTCCTCCTCCTCCTCCTCCTCCTCCTCCTCCTCCTCCTCCTTCTCGTCCAGCTGGCGTCGGCGTGATCCGGGGCCCCAAGCGGGGCCCCGAGCCCTCGCGCTCCCCGCCCTCGCCCTCGCGAGCCGCGCCGACGCTGAGGGGTGCGGATGCCCGCGGCCCGTGCGCAGGTGGACGCGAAGGTCAACACGGTGGTCGTCGAGGTCAGCGCCGCTTCCCTGCTCGAGGATCTGCGGGCCGAGTCTGGCGGTGTCGTACCCTTGGCGCCGGACGTTGAGGCGGCCCGCAGGACGGCCGAGGAGCGGGCGGGGTGGTCATGGGTGGTGACCTGCATGGGGGGCAAGGGCCCCAAGGGGGCCCAAATAAGGGGTGAAGAAAAGGGCCCCAAAGGGGCCATTCAGGACCCCTGCTGGCTACAAAAGGGGCCCGACAGGGCCCCTTGAGGGCCTCTCTCTTCACCCCCGTTTAAGTCACCCCCCCATCATCACCCGCCCGAGAGGAGCGGGTGGCGCTGGCCAACCGGGAGGCGCAGCACCATCGGCAGTCCGTCGCGGAGGCCGTCGCGCTCGCGAAGAAGCACCGGCAGGCCGCCCGCGACGCGGAGCAGAGGGGCCTCGGGCTCGAGGCCAAGGCCGAGGGCCTGGATATTGGGGGGCGCCAACAAGATACACCTGCACACCGACCCTGGCCAGGCCGTTCTCCTGGGCCCACGGTTGGTGTCGTGCGCGCCTTCCCGCCCAAGCCACCAGGATGATGAGCCCGGTCAGGGTCAGTGCAGGTGTGTAGATATTTGGTGCCCTCCCCCAGGAGAGGGAGCGGGAGGCCGCCGAGTGCGAGGCGCTGCGGCTCCGCGAGGCCCTCGAGCGCGCGCGGCGCGCCGCCGATGCCGAAGAGGCCGCTGAGCGCGCCGAGGCCTACGCCGCGGTGGCGGCGGCGGCGGCCGCCGAGCGCGCCGAGGCCGCGGCCGAGGAGGCGAGGACGCAGGCCGCCCTGGAGCGGCGCGCCCTCGGCGCGGAGGAGGCCGCGGCGGACGCGCTGCGGGCGGGGCTGCGGCGGGCGGAGGCCGAGGCGGAGCGGCTGCGCGTGGGCGCGGAGGCGCAGGCGGGCCAGGTGGCCGAGGCCCGCCGGCTGGCCGGCGAGGAGGCCAGGAGGGCGGCGGAGGCGGACGGCCGGGCCGCGGAGGCGGAGGCCTCCCTCGAGGGCGCCCGCCATTGCGCGGAGGAGCTGCGAGCGCGGCTGTGCTGCCAGGCGGGCGAGGCTGCACAGCAGGCGGAGGAACTGCGGCTGCGCACCGGGGCGCTGGAGGATGCGCGCGCCGCAGTCGCGCGGCTCTGGGCCGAGGCGAGGGAGCGCGATGCCGCCCACGCCGCCGTGCTGGCGGAGGCGCAGCGCACGGGCCGTGAGGGCGCCAGCGAGGGCAGGGAGGCGGCGGCGGCGGCCTCGGCAGCGGCGGCGGCGCGGTGGGCGGAGGAACGCCGCGCCCTGGAGCGCCAACACGAGGCGGCGCTGGGGGAGCTGCGGGAGGAGCTGGAGGCTGGCAGGGCTTCTGGGCTCAGGCTCGAGGCGCGCCTCGGGGCCGAGCTCGAGGCGCGCCTCGGCGAGTTCCGGAGGGAGGCCAGAGCCGACCGCGGGGAGCTGCGGCGCCAGCTGGAGGCCGAGCAGTCGGAGTTCAGGAAGGCTGAGGCCGAGTGGGAACACTCTGCGGAGAGGGCTGTCGCCCAGGCCCAGGAGGAGAACGCGGCGCAGAGGCGGAGGGCGTCCGTGGCCCTCAAGACGGCGCGCTCGGCCGCGGCCGACAGGGAGGCGGAGCTGCGGCAGGCCTACAGCGAGCTGCAGCGCAGCCTCGCCACGGCCGAGACGCGGGACGAGGACGCCCAGCTGATCGCGGGCCAGCAGGCCCGCATCCGCGCCCTGGAGCGGGAGCTGGACTGCAGGGAGCACGACAAGGAGGAGATCCGCCGCGAGCTGCAAAACCGCGACAGCAACGACCGCATCTTCGGCCACGTGGGCCTGCGGCGCTCGCGCGAGGCCTCCCACGAGCAGCGGCTGGGCGGCCACGCCCCGCGGCCGCCCGCGCGGCGGCACCCTGCGGCCTCGCCGGCCGCCGCGGGCGCCCCGGCGGCGGCCCCTCTCGGCGGCCCCCGCGGGCGCGCCACCTCTGTGCAGGGCCGCGCCTGCCGCCCGAGCAGCGGCAGCCCGCACAGAGCCCTGTCGGAGCGCCCGTCGGCCAAAAGAGCGGGCCGCGGCGGGCGGCCCCGCGGCGAGCCCAGCGGTTCGAGTGTGGGGCCCCGAGGGGGGGGGGGCCTGAGGAGTGGAGCCACGCAGTGGCGACGCGTCCTCCTGGCGCCCCTACTATAGGCACACCAAAGAATGCTCTAATGCCCCCTTTTGTGGTGGTTTGCACGGAGTGCTCTGAGAACATTTCTGGCTGAGACCGTCCTGTTTTGACACGTCGGGCTTCTGGTCTAAGAACAGCGCTCCTGATCCGAGAACAGCTTCTGGCTCCTGGAACTTTTCTGGGGTTGTCCTACAGGACTGCCGGGGCGGTCGGTCTCTAATCCATGGAGGGGCCCAAGGTCGAACTCACACCGTCCGAGGCCCCTCGCCCTGCGGGCCCCGTCCTTGGGGCCGCCGGGCGGGCACGCCGCCGCCGTGGCCGGGGAGGCTCGGGCCGCCAACCGCCGCCGCCACCTCCACCAGCGCACCAGCAGGACCACGAGCGCTGCACCGCTGACCTCCGCTCACCGCTCTGGCCGTCGCACCACCACGGACCACGAGCACTGCCCCGCCGACCGTCGCGAGCCTGGGCTGCGCACTCCGTGGCCTTCGATCCAGCGTCTGCG